GATTCTTTTGTGGATAGGATTGCTCTAATTATTTCGAACAGAATATTTGCTAATAGATGTACATAGAAAAATAAATATAATTTGAATTATACAAAAGAAGAACTTGAAAGAAGAAATACACTTGAAAGTGAAATTAAAGGAGAAATATACTCCACAGGTGGTACCTGGATGGATTGTTATAAGAGAATTCAAGGATCTTTATGAAATTAGTTACGAATTATCACGAACGAGATACGAAATAGAAAGTCTTGCGAAGTAAGTATAGTTTGGTGAAATTGAATCGTGACGAGAAAAAAATCTATCATACCGACGGAGGACTTGAAAAAAAAATTCATATAAAAAAGGACCAAAAAATTAAAAATATAGAGTATGTCTGTCTTATCACCGCTATCGGCATTGCAAATTGAAGTGTAATCACGTATCTTCATTCAACAAAGAATTTTATGATTTCTAGTTTACCGGATTCAAAAGGGTAAAAACAAGAAATAAGTCAGAACTTTAACAGAATATTTGTAATATCGCAATAACTATCGGACCATTCGATAAGAATAAATTATGTAACAACAGAATAATCGAAATTTAGTAAAATTCAATTCCTTGCTTTTCCAAGGAATTATATATATATATATATATATATTCACGACAAGACATGACTCCATAAACGATTTTTGTGACTCTTAAAAAAAAAAAAATGTATCGCAAAAAGTTCGATGACAGGTTACACACACAACGGAATAATTCATGAGATAAAAAATAAAGAGTATTGAATCATCTCGACCTGTTATGACCGGAATATATATTCCATAAATATATGTATTAAAAAAAAAAAAAAAAAAAAAAAAAACAATATTGATCACGAAAAAACTCACTAGATAAAAGGAAAAAGAAAAGAAAAGATACGTATAAGACACATATAAATACAGTTCGTGAAATTGTTGATTCAATGTCAAACCAATTTACAAATCGTTAAAAGTCGTAGATATCATAGCAGTATATACGATCGCGTACGTACGAAAAGAAATAAAAAAAAAAAGAAATAAAGTTTAATGAATCCAGTGATATTACAGTTCATATGTTACGACGAGCATACTTTGCTACACTTTTTTTGTAAATATCTTAATGAGAATACGAAAAAAAAAAAAAAATACATATACAAATATATAAATATATAAATATATGTATACGTGTATACATACGTATATCGGTAATCTTCTCTTACATTTCGGGAATGGAAAAGGTTTAAATGTTAAAGAGTGAACATATTCCTTCTCTTTTTAAAAAATTTAATTCATCGTTAAATTTTTAATTGTTTCTTATATAAAGTTTATATGATTGCCTTTAATTAATTATACTATATAGTTAAATTTTATTATCAGAATTAAAAAGAAAATTCTTCGTAATTAAAACGTACAAAAAATATTCTAGAAAATATGATATTTGGTGACAAATCGTCATCATGGAACAAATAAATAAATGCACAATCAATAAAATCAGAATTTCACGTGATCAGCGATTTCAATCGAAAGCCTAATTATTGCTCATCTATGTATGTTATTATAAATGTCCATGATTAGTTTAAACAGTATTTTGACGCGTTCTTTTTTGTTCTTCTTTTTTACGATATTAGTATAATTAATTCGATGTTTTTAATTCTGTACAATCTATAAAAAAAATACATATTTTATAAATGAACAAAAAACGTACATTGATATCATAAAAATAGAATATAATAAAAGGTATATCAAGTATATATCATATTGTAGCAAATTATTGTTTTGAATTTGTGATTAATATTTAGTCAAGAATTTTATAAAAATTTAATTTTTTGATTCTATGATTTTCAGTTAATATTTATATAATTTTTCTTAACATTATTATTATTATTATTTTAAAGTTATATTAAACAAATGTTTTTCATAATAAAAATTAATTCAATAATTGAGTTACAATCATTGGTATTGGTATCTAACATATCTAACAATAAATAATAATTTTGAATTTTTTATTCATAAAATCAATGAACATTAAGGAATGAACAAAAAAGGATACGAAAAAAACTGTCAAATTTTATTGCTGCATCTAGAGAAGGCTGTGTTCGACATAGCTTAAATGTATATAGTATGTTGGTATGCGTATGTATGTATATGTACATACCAACATACACGTAAGAAATATATAAGCGTACAAACAAAAAACGTACATAATGCACTGATTACACACAATATATAAGGTCTAATAATTCCACACTTATATAGCGAATATTTAAACGAAAAAAATGAATTGTTCTATAACCCAATATCATCCAACAAGAAGTGTATAATTATTGCGATAATAACATGAAGTTCAATGTTACGTATTTTCTATTGTATCGTAGCATCTTATGCATTATTCCAGTAAATACTAAGGGTCAATCTGAAAATTTTTTATTGGTATTTTAAAAAGAAAAAACAGATTTTTCAAATTTATTACGTATTATTCTTAATTCTATTATTTTCTTTTTTTATATTCTTCACTTTTTTTATTTTCTATTATAAAATATTTTTAGGACAAAACAATTTTTTTTTCGTTCCATTTGTAACTTTTCGGATCGATCCTGAGTAATATGTATATAAAATTGTACTCACTGAAAATTATTACTATAGAAATGGTGCTATTTTCGAAAAATCCGTGATTGCGTACCATCGAAAAATCACAGAATTGTAGACATACTCGAAGCAAATTAAAATTCCTGTTCTGTTTCCTCATTTCTATTTATCTGCACGAATATCAGGGTAATAATCTCATTACGCGAATTTTTCAACAAAATTCAGAATACAATCGTAATGAACTTCAAACGATTTATCGATTACATCCTCTCGCATGATTCAATATATATCGCTTATGAAAATAGTTTTTCCATCAAAAGAAAATTATTAATGTTTAATCATAACAAGCTATTTTAAAGTCATATAAGTTATTCAATTATATACATATAAACGAAACAAATTCATTCCCAATATTATGAATTTGCAAACGTTTTATTTTATTCAATATTTACTATCATCTATTATTATACTACTATTATCTAGTATAGATGTGATAGTTCATATGACTATCGAAGTATTGAAGGATGGCGCGAATTTTTGAAAGCGTTTAATTCTAAGTGAACATAACGGGGGCGCTACAAAGCATTTTTTCGGTATTAATTCTAGCTTGGGGTACGTTATGTTTGAGCAGTATGTGAGTACCTCTGAGATGTTTAAAAAAGATATTGACAATATATATACATGTGATTGACAAAAGGTTTCATCACAGTTTTGTAAACTACATCGTATTTCTATAGGCTTTACTATTCGGAGAATGAAGAAACTAAAAGGATACGCGAATTGAATCAATCGTATTGATGATTAGATTAGAGAAAAATGAACATAATAAATTAACATTTTCAATAAATATTTATCGTAAAAACAATTTATCGGAACTTTTTTATTTTTCAAAATTTTGACTAACTTTTTATAAAAAAAATCTGTATATCATTCGAAAAATTCGCGTGTCCTTAAAATTTTCTTTGTTTTTCGATTTTAGTAATATCATATAAAACAATTTTTTCTTTCTTTATTTTTTGTCTCTATCAATAACATCGGACATATCGTCCAGTTATAAAATAACATATACGTTTATTTCATAAACTTTTCATAACGAATTAACGATTCAGTGCATCCAATCGATTAATTAAACTTTCGTATTCATCATTTTGAACGTCTAACTAAACCATGCTCGAAACCAGACCAGATTTCTATTTTATACCTGTATTTCATGATCAGGATATTAGAATGATTATCTAATGCATATTATTATGTCTATGTAAATTTTGTTTAATAGAAATAATATTTAATATTTCTCACATAATTATTGATTATTATATTATGAACTATTAAACCTTTAAAAACAAATTTATTAAAACTTTAAAAACGAACTTATTAAAATCTTTAAAAGCTATATTAAGTAATTTAAAAAAAAAACGATTTTTATTTATAATATAAAAATTACTAATTAATAATAATTTTATGCGATTTTTTATTATTTTTTTATAATAATATAGAATGTCAAATTGTTTTACATCATTTAATTCATTGCTATTTTTAATAATTTTTTAATATAGTTTTAGTGATAAATTATAATGTATAATTATTCATATTTATCAAAATATTAAAGAATGTATTTAAATCATCTATTTGTTTTATTAATAATTTTTATTGTTAACTGAAATATATGCATGTATTATTCACATATATATTACTTAATATATTATTAAGTTCACATATATATTACTTATATCATTGACAATTTTGTTTCGCTGCATTTCTATTAATCAATTTGTCAATACATAACAGATTCCTTTGTTATAATTCATACAATTTATAAATAAATTTTATTAATACAATTATATCTGAACATAAAATATACTTTTTACCATTATATAATTGTTAAAAATGAATATGCTATGAGAAACTGAAAGATAGAAAGAATAAATAAAATTATCCATTACTTATTTTAAATAATTATTTTATAATTATAATTATTTTTATTTTAAATAATTATGCACAAAAAAAATTTTTTTTTTTTTTTAATATAAAATTTGTTAACTTATTTCTTATTTACTTTTACAATAGTATACAATGTATTTTAAAAAAATAAAAGCATATATGTATATGTACGTATAACTTTTCCAAGAAAATCTATGTACATGTAATTATCAAAATATAATAAGTAAGTATTTTGTAACAATATATTTGATAAGCACATTAAGTGTGAAATATTCATTTTACAAAATCATACTGTGCAAAAAATATGCACAGAAACATTAAAAAATTTAATAGAGAGATCTTTCTATATTATTTTAACCGCTCCGTGACGGACTCCACATTTTTTTAAATATCGCCAAATTCCATATGTTATGAAAATTCATCCATAAGAAAAATATCAAAACCATTGTAATCATAATGAGTTTTGCACCCATGAGGGATTAAAATTTTTTTTTTTTTTTTATAAAAATGTAACATTATAGATTAATACATAATCTAAATAGATGCCTTTGCTTATCATTCATTCATGAATTCTTAATTGATTAAAAGAATAAGTGATTAAAAAACAAGTACTATAATAAAAGTGTTTGCTTTCAACTAAAATATAAAGCAAATTATAAAATTAATTATGCTTACAACATCAATGTTTTTTTTACATCTTTTATACATTTCAGCTACATAACACTTTCTTATTCACGTCGTAAATTTTCAAGCCTAGCATGAAGATCTGCATCCGCATCTGCAATATTTCCACCTTCATCATTTCCTGTCGCAGCTGCAATTGGTTGCTTAGAATTTGCTACACTTAATGAACCAGAAGCTTGTGGTAAACCAGATAATTGATCTGTTAATTGAAGACCTAATTCGTCCAAAACTTGTGACACAATAGCATCACTATACAAATATAATAAATATAAATATAATTAAAATATTTAATAAATAAATGTTTAGAAATATTTTTAATAATTATACAAATACCTTTCTTCTTCATCACCTTCATCTTCCATTGCATCATCAATTGCATCATTCATAATTTCTTCTTTCATATCCATTATCTCTGACTGTTTTTCAAACTCATGCAATATTTTTTGTATTTGAGGAAGATTTAATTGTCTATAAAAATACATAATTTATATACAGAATATCTTATTAAATATTATTATCTTGAATTATATCATTATTATTATTTGCAGTGATATATAAAATATTTTGACATTAAATAATTTCAAGAGATGCAATTATTAGTAAGCAAGTAAAGTTTTCTTAACAATATTTATTATATTATCAAAATATTTCCTAATCATTTTTCGATATTTATAAGTTAATATTTTTTTATATTGATATTTATATTACATTGATAAAAAAATATAATTCTATTTAAAAAATTGATCTTTATATGTCCTTAATGCATTCACTTATAAAAAATAACATCAGTATATGCATCTTTTGAAACTAATTAATGTCCATCAAAATATTTCTCAATGCAAATAATAATAATGATATAATTCAAGATGGTAATATTTAGTGATACATCTTGTATATAGCAAACAATGATTGTCTTTGATCATAATTTTGAAAAAAATAAATCAAATTTTAACTTATTCATGTTTTGCATTGCTCTTGTGACTCCTTTCATTGCTTGTGCCATAGTATTTTGCGAACGTAAAGTTTGAATTTTCAAAGATACTGCTTGAATATTCGCTTTCATTAGCATGAATTTTTTCACATAGCGTCTAGTTCTTACAAGATCTTTTGCCATAATTTTCACTGCATCCTATTGTTATTAAAATTATTAATGAAAAAAATTTTATTAAAATTAAACACATCATCTAAAATTAAATTTAATAGATTACCATTTGACCATCTTTAGCAAGTTTTTTTATATCTGCAATGATCTTTTTTTCTTGCTGTTCCATTCTCATTCTTTCTCTATCAAGATCTCGCATAGCTTTGTTTAATGCTCTTTGATTTTTTCTAAGCATTTCTTCAGGAGTAATTCTTTTTCCAAATAACCACTCCATGATTGAAATATCCCAACTTTACCTATTAAAATTAATGTAAACATATATTAATTACAAATTATTATTATTAAAATTTTAATAAAAAAATTTAAAAATGATTGTACAAAATTCAAACGTTTTTACGTAAAAAATTAAAAACAGAAAGATTAAAATAATAAAAAATAGTTGCTTTTATTTAAACAAAATTAAAAGCTGAAAAATCTATTAAATTATCTAACAGATTTAGAATAAATAATAGTATTTGTACCCAATAATTATTTAAATGTATCTATATTTAAATGAAAAAATTATAGAAATCTTGATTGTTCGAAATTTACTTTTTTTAGGTTAGTTTTATATTGAAAATTCGATCTGTCAGACTATCTGTATGAATCACAATACCAAAATGATTAATATTATTATATATATATATATATATATATATATATA